CTGTTCTAGTGGGCTAAATGCGACACTACAAATTCGGCCCGTAAGATCAAGGAATTGTGGCATCATTCCTCTACATTTAGGAACCATTACTCGGTTGATTGGGACGCTCTGGATCGCGTTGAATCTGAGCTTGCGTCGGTCTGAGAGGTTGAGGAGTTGTTCTGGAAACAACATTCTCATGTTTCTTGGCTAAAAGAAGGCGATCATAATTCTAATTATTTAATACGGTTACTCGTACCCGTCGTTGAAGGAACCAAATTCAAGGGCTATTTAATGTTGTAGGGGAGTGGGTGATCGAACCTTCAGCTTTCAACAAGTTGCCACTGACTTCTATCAGGTTCTCTTCTTGGCGGAAGACCGGAGTTTGGATTTTGTTCATCGAGTGAAATCAAGGGTGAATGAGTTGCCCATTCAGCCTCTGGTCACGAATATGATGAATCAAAGTCTTCCTTCCCCAGTCACTCCGAAGGAGATAAAGCACACTGTTTTCACATGGGGGAGTTAAAAACTCCGGGTTCAGATGGGTTTACGGGGTTCTTCTTCAAGTCTTTTTGGCATATTGTTGGGGATAGTATTACTAGAGCTCTCTCATCGTTTTTCAGACGAGAAAGCGACTTCGGAATATGAACCATACTTGGTTCAAGCTTATCCCTAAAGTTGATAGGGTGGAGCATGTTTCTCAGATTTGGCCAATTAGTCTCTCTCAATTCCTTTAGAAAGTCATTACTAAATTTCTTGTGAATCGATTAGGTTCTCTTCTTTCTAATATTATTTCTCTGGAACATAATGACTTTGTCCAGGATCGTTAGATTATTAATAATGTGTTGGTCGCTCATGAAATCATGCATTTCATCTCTAATAAGGGTCGGTAATGGCACTGAAGTTGGATATGGAGAAGTTCGTTTTTCCCCGACTTGGATTCATTGGGTTCGAGAGTGCATTACCACTACGACTTTCTCAGTCAGAGTAAATGGTTGTCCCTATGGTTATTTTCCTTCTTCGTGGGGATTTAAACAATGAGATCTTCTAACTCTGTTATTATTTACGCTTTGCACTTAAGGTTTTAAGACATTACTTAAGAAGGCCATTCGCTCTCACGATATTCATGGTGTCAGGATGAGCCCTCAGTGTCTAGTGGTTTCACATTTACTCTTTGCAGATGACTCTTTTCTCTTCTTACGGGCTTCAAGACGAGATGGAGGTATGCTTATGGAGCTCCTACATGAGTATCAAGAGATAAGTGGGCAGCGGGTTAATATGCAAAAATTTGATGTTTGCTTTAGTCCGAATCTCGATCAATCTAATCAAGAGGATCTAGGTGTTTTCTTGGGGTTAGTTCCTTTGGGTTACAAGATTGTTATCTAGGTCCTCCCTCTTTACGTGAACACTTTAAATTGGATACATTTCGTTTTGTGAAGGAGACATTGATATCCGTGCTTCAGGGATGGAAGAATCGAGCTCTTTCCGCAACTGCTAAAGAAGTTTTACTCAAATTGGTTGCAGTTGCTCTACCGATTTATGTTATGTTGTGTTTTTGGATTCATCGTGATTTAATTAAACGTCTGAATGCTTTAATGGCTCAATTTTGGTGGGGGCTGGTAAGGCAAAAATGTAATGCCTCAATCCTATCTCGTAGTAAAACCGGAAAGTCCGGGTATCGTCTCTCAGGGACTGGTACAACGTTATGATTTATCAATTCTATGGAACAAACTATAAGTGAAAATGGTTTGGTTGATGAAATTATTATCTAATAGCAAAATAATTAAACAAAACAAGCAAGTTAAAATGGTCGGGAGAAATTCAATGAAGAAAGCTCTAGGAAAAACACCGGGACTCGCTACCTATCATATCCAAATTAATTCACATATTCCAATCAATTTAATCCATATCTCTACTGTGCTAGTTATCCCTGTCTGGAATTACTACGTACTAAACAATTAATTCAAATCCTACTGTCGTAGCTCAATGAATTAACTGTTTAGCCTAAAGACTGATATCCCAATTAAGGCCGCATAGCACCTTCTTTAATCCACTGTCCCTTCGATAAGTTACTATATCACATTAAATATGTTCAGTTATTAGGGTTTCACTGTCGCTAATAACCTAATTAACTACAAATCATTGTATTGGTGGCCAGTCAACACAAAGCATTAAGCAATTTCATGCAATAGAGATTGGAAGAAAAGAAATATGAATCAATCCATCAAGTATAGAAATAACTACATTCTATGGTGTTTCCCCGAGAAATTGGGGTTTAGTTCATGATGAAAATAAAACACACAATCATGTTCTTTTTCATCATGATGCTAATTAAATAAAAGAGAACGAAAATACTCGAACGCCTGCACCAGCGCTTGTCCTTGCACACGATCGCCGCCAAGCGTTGCTGCTTCATGTTCCCGTGTCGCCTGCTGCTCGCTCTCTCTCCAATCGCCAATTCCTTCCCGATCCCTCAGTCTCCGTGTCCAATTCGTCTCGTCCTCTATCAATTTATATGAGGCCCATGATTCTCCCGCTTCTATGTCCAAATAATTATCCCCTCTATTTCCATGTCCCAGACTAGAGGACAAAAAAGATGGGCCAGAAAAATCCCCAAAAGCCTTTCGTTCCCCCAAAGCAATTCCCAGTCCAAGTCCTCTCCACAAAAGGACAACGGAGATGGGCAAAGTAATTCCCAAGCGTCCAAATCTCCTCCAATAAGAAGTTTCATGCCGAGCTTCTTACGGAAAGCCGAGCGGGCCGGTAAAACTATGTTTTAATTTGTTGGGCTTCAAGTCCGAGTCGTACTCGCCATCTGCTGCTTCTGACAACTATCTGTGCTGCCATTTATCTTTATTTTTTCACCTAAAGCACATCAAAATTATAACACAAGATGGTGACACGCTAAAACACAACACCTAACAATGGCCAAGTGTAACCAATGAAAGGGACTGCAGTATAGTGACACAACTAATAAATATCGAATCCACGGGTCTCTAGAGTTACTATTACTCAGCTTCAGTTCATTATCTAGCAAACTAGATTAAGGATTGATTTATAAACTACTCTACTAACTACTCTACTAATTACAAGTTGGGAACTCACTTAGGTATGATTCCCCCTAGCTCCTCAATTAGGTCCAAGTTGCAATTACCTTTGGTTGATCTACTGTTGATTAAATTGCGGAATCCGACAGTAGTTTGGAATCTCTTAAACTGACCAAGCCCTCTCAGTCCAACTACCCGGCAGGCGACTAACCTTCACCGGGATTGAAAGCTGAGGCTATGAACACAGAACTCCACTACCGGAATTGGATTCCAGTACAAAGCAGTAGATTGACTAACTCTCGTATAACCAATTCACCACCATCAATCAAAGAAGCTCTCTTAACCTAATCAGATTCTATCTATCATAGGTTAAAGCAGAAATCAAGAGAATTTGATCAAGATTCAATGGACTCAATAAATCATGTCTCAATCGATTATAATCAAACAATATAGCATCCAAAACTTCATACAAGAAAGATCCTAACACATGGAACTAGGGTTCCTCAAAACCTAAGTGAAGGGAAGTTACTCCATAGAGAAGAGAGAGACTGCAGAAATCTGATCTAGATCTTCAATCTCCATCTCCAAGCTTGATTCCCGAGCTCCAATGGCAAAGAAATCCTCCAAAATAGCTCCAAGAATGTTCCCAAGTCGCTCTCTCTCTCTCTAGGGTTCGTCCCTTGGGTGTTTGGGAACCAAAAACCCAGCTCTCAGATAGCTTCTAGGATGTGTTCTTCGTCCTTTCTCTCTCTAGGGCTCTGTTTTTGCTCAAAAAGTCCGATCTCTCTCTTGCAGCCCGAAATTGGGTTAAAACCAGGAATTCTCGACTCACACGGGCAGGGCCACACGGCCGTGTGGCATACCCAGTTGCCCGTGTGACTTCAAAACGCTGCGTCCCGATTAGTTTCACTTCAGGCAACCTACACGGCCAGGGTCACACGGCCGTGTGAAGCCTCGTAGAATTCCACACGGCCAAACCACTACTTCACACGGCCGTGTGGATATCAGGGCAAGCCGTGTGAAGGCTCGCACAATCCCACACGGCCAAATAGGTCACTTGCACGGCCGTGTGAATTGTGGGTGTGCCCGTGTGGCTTCCTTTTTGACTTGCCTCACGCCCGATCGTCGTCCAATCGACCCCGAACTCGCTCCTAAACCTTCATTCACTTGCTAGGACTTGAAATATCACAAACAAACACAACCTAGCGTGAAAGCGGCCTAAAACACGAGAATTACCATCTCAAACGGCTCCAGAATAGGGGTAAAAACATGTGCAATTAACGGCTTATCAAACTCCCCCACACTTAACCGTTTGCTTCTCAAATGGTCTTATAATCATTCCGGAGTCAGTTGGCCTTAAAACAAGCATTATATGTCTCAAACATATTATGAAATAATCACATTAAACACATAAAATCAATTATGTTTTCGACAATTATAAGGGGCAGTTCAGGGTCAGCGACGAATTCATTAGTGAGCTTGGAATGTCACCCAAACAGGAAGGGGGTCTGGTGTTTAGGGGGTTTGGATGTTTCCATCAAGCTCTGCTAGCGAAAGTCGCATGGGTATTTCCAATTTAGGAAGTAATCCTTCATGGGGTTGGCGTAGTGTTCTGTTTGGCGTGGAATTGTTACGGGAAGGTCCACGCCGGCAGGTTGGTGATGGAGCTTCAATACGGACTTTTAGGGATCCATGGATCCCAATTAATCCTCCTGCGATACCTCAAGCTTCTCCAGGTTCATCGCATTCTTCTTGTTTGTGGCGACCTTAATTGATCCAGGAACTCGATCCTGGAACTTCATGGCTCTGCATCATTTCTTCACAGAGAAATCTGCTAGATTAATCCAAGGGATACCACTATCTCAAAAGTAGCTTCCAGATTCCCTGATCTTGCATTATGAACCAATAGGGAAATTTGCAGTTAAGTCAACATATCATCTAGATTTTCATCGATCATCGAAAATGTCAGATTCTATCGAAACCACGGATTGATTTGAAGGATCCTTCAGTCTGAAATTGGGATTGGGGGAGGAAGGTTCCTCTGAAGTTACTTTTCTTTTTGTGGCGGTGCATACATCGTATCCTCCCTACTCGAGAAAGTTTAGTAACGCGAGGGATGAAGATCATTCCCTTTTGTCCAGGTTGTGGACGCAAGAAAGAAATAATTGAGCACTTATTTTTCCGGTGTCCTGTCGCGAGAAAATTGTGGAGGATGGTGGGACTTCATAAGCATTTGGGAAGTTGGCAAAAGGGTTCTTTTATTGGTTTCATTCGGTTTTCATTGTTCAAAGAAGGGGGTCTTGATTTGGATTACCTCCTTTTGCAGGTTATTTGTTTGCTTTGGAAAATATTGAAGAACCGATGTTTTGTTTTCTACGAGTATAAACAGGTGAAAGTATGAAGGCAGTGGCACACCAACTATTCATCCCTCATCCATTACATCTATTTCCTCCATGGTGGATTATTATGGTTCATTCGATGCACTGCACGTACTCGATCAAGAGAGTCTGGCTCTGCAGCTTTTGTTCTTCGCCATGCTTCTGATGCTTATATTGCGTCTAAAGCAACTCGTTATGAAGGCTGCTATGATCCTTATGTTCTCGAGGCAATGGCACTGCGTGACTCTCTCCTTGAATGTTCTCAACACAGGTTGATGAATATTTGCATTCATGGTGATGCTAAAGTTCTCATTGACAAATGCCGAGTGGGAGAACTAGTGATTCCAAGATTGGGATTATGCTTCAAGAGATTGCTTTGCTTCAGGACCTTCCAGCTGCATCAGTTATATTTGTTGGTAAGGCAGATAGCAGAGTAGCTCATTCAGTAACGCGTCATACTCTGGGTTTGTCACATCGATTAATAGCGATGTTTTACTTTTTTGCATGGTTACATAGTAGATAGGGTCTATGCATATGTGAACTATGTTTTCCCTCTTTTTCATAGGAATCTATTGGCAAAAAAATAAAATGAACATAAATGAGGCACTCAAGCCTGCAATTTTCGCAAGATGCCACTTTTAAAGTGGTACAAACTACAAAATGAAGCGTACTGAGAATCAACATTTCTTTTTAGTTTGTTCTTCTATCCATTTTTCTGACAGGGATTTGAAAGATCACAAGGAAGAAAGCTCTGAACAGAAAAGGAGTTTATACAAGGTTTTACATCAGATAGACAAGAAGGCAGAGAGCTGGTAGGCCATTCTGCAAAACAACCCTCGAGCATTTGGCTTGTCCAACTTCGCCTCAAAATGAGTGGCCATGAAGAGCACCAATCCTCAAGAAGCTTTGCCAGAAAATGACTTGATTACAATTCTCAAAAACAGTAGTTCAAGATCTTGTTCTTTCAGGGAATTCTGGCAAAAACAGGAAGAAGATGAAGTTAATTATTGATCACCTCCATACTCTGCAAACATGACAATTACAGTATAAATAAAATGTTCCGATTTCTAATCACCCTATGAACTGGAAACGATGAACCAGAAAGTGAACTTGGAATGCAGAGTTCAGCAGCCACTGTTAATCATACTCACTGTTGTGATTCAACCAATTTAGTTTTCCCATCTAACAAAAAACACTTTTTTCCATTTTCAAACAACGGTGCCAAGTATTCAAGATTGATCAGAGTATAGTGTTCTTCCAGCCTCATATCTTATCTGTAAAATTCTATTGAAGCTATAGAGATAATGGAAGATAGAAAACATCCAACCATCCTAAGATGAACGTTGTGGCTAACATTATGTGGAAAAATAACATTTCTGTTTCATCTGTCTAGATCTGTCACAGTTACACCTTCACCATTGGATCACTTCCTATAGGTTATTGCTTCTAGTTACCAAGTTACTGGTGACAATCCATCAAATAGGGTGATGATGAATGTTTCAAAGAAAAAGACTGAAGTCGAAAGCAGCATTTTATTTGCAGAACCCTGGTGGCAAGTGACATCTGTTCTATAGGAAGACACAAGGGCCTCTAAGAAGGTAGCAGTGGATCAAGACTAAGGAAGCGAAACGCTTTATTGCCTAGTTTGGCTTCACGAAGAAACATAAAAAGTTTGACTGCAAACTCCAATAGTAGAAGCATTTTAAACCAAGAAAGTGGCCAGAAGATGGGCCTAATATCCATAATCTGTAACTCTTTCCATGTTACCTCAGACAAACCTCAACCCCTTTTTGACCAAAGAAAACCAATATCATTTGCATCAGTATATGACTCGAAAAGCTTTAATCTTTCCTACACTAGTAAACATCACATATAAATCGCTCATAGACACATGTTTTTAAGTCGTATTGCATTGAAGCTGCAAAGCTACACAAACCCTGGAAAGGCAGCGACACATAGGGCTGCTTCAGGAGACCCTTAGCAGTATCAGTTACAAAGAATCTTGACAAACTGCGTAGGTTAAATCATCACAAATTTATAAAAAAAATACAGAAGATTTCCTACTATTATCACTCACAAGAGCTGAAGGAATGCACCATTCTTTCTTCTTCTCAGAAACCAATAAAATCAACAACTAAGAGTTCTACAATTAACTCTATTTCAAACCTCTTCTCGCATCTTTGTCTAGACAATAATGCAAGGGTGCTCCTCTTATGAAGTCAAGTACATGAGCTTTAATAGAAGAAAACAAGTTACCTTACACGACCCCGTGAAGCCACAGGCGTCAATCCATAGCACAAAACTTCAACTGTCATTCAACTCCACCCTTGCCAACTTTGTACCTCAACTTCCGGTTGTGACTTTCCTGCAAGATTTCAAATTGAATAAGCATTCAATTGCCATCTATAGCTGAAGAATTTCATGTCTCCTTGACTGCTTGCTTGATTACACAATCACAAAGATTAGCAACAACTCACCAGCTGATGAACCTTGGCATTGCCACTTTCCACTTCTCTAGCCAAGCTCTGAATCTTCACCAACATCTTCTCATACAAATCCTCCAATCCTGCAGTATAACTGGTAGCCTCATGACCAATCAATCTGTTCAAGTTTGCAACCCCATAACCTTCAGCACACATATCCAACTCCTTTTGATCATTGGCCACCTTCTTCAGTTCAACTAAACTAATCTCCTCGCTCCTATCCTCATTCATCGCCGACGAACTCCTCAAATCGCAGCTCAACATTGGAAATGGCGAATTAGGGCTAAACGAACCATAATGCCCGCGGAAGGCAGGGCCAATGTTCACTATATCAACCGATTTAGAATCGAAACATTCCGTGGAATCACGGAACTGGTAGGCGCGGTACTCATGCGTATGAATCAATTGCTCTTGCACGGGGGTAGCAAACAGGAGAAATACACAGGGGGCGAGATTTACCGGACTCTCCGCGTTCTCGACAGGGAGAGACAGCTCGGATATGGAAGAGAGGCAGCGCGTCACGGAAAATTCCCGCATCGAAGGACGGTTAGACGTTCTTCGGCGAGCGGAGAACCAGCCAAGGAGGTGTTGCCGGTGGCGGCCGGGGTGGGCGACGAGCAGGCGCTGGAGGGAAGGCGTATCCACGAGGCCGAAAGCGTCGTAGAAGGAGAGCACGGAGTTAGGGCATATGAAGGAAGTAATGGTGGCTACGAGTTCCGGTGAATCGGAGGAGGAAGAAGGGTCGGAGTTAGAGGTATGGGGAGCGTCGTCGGTAAGAGTGGGAGCGAGGTGCGTTACGTGGCCGAAGAGAAGGCCGTCCACATCGCCGACGGAGGAGGAGAAGCGCTGAAGCATGGAGGCTAATGTGGGACCCGAAATCGCCACTTTCTGTAACGGAAGGTCTCTCATGGCGGCCATGACTAGCAATCAGAATTCAGAAGAACGACGGGGAAGAGAGTGAGAAAGGTAGGAGGTTGAGAGAGCGAGGGAAGAGAAAATTGAGAAATTAACAAGTTCCGCCCATTGCTCTTTCACGAGAACCTGGAGAAGACAGAAGAGAACAAAACAGTATGTTGGAACGGCGCCGTTCACAGCTGCCGGAGCACGTTAGTTGAATTATTTTGGAAAAAAGGTAAACGTTTGGTTACTCAGATTGCTAAACACGCTAAAAATATTTAATCCAATAATGGTCACTAAAATTAGTTTATTAGTCCAAACTTGGCCATTCTCTGTTACTTTCGGTCTAATTCCGTTAATAGAGTACGTTAAGTACTAACGTGACAAGCGAAATCACCTAATCAGACGGATTAACCCGAAAAATACTGAACTAGACCCGACACATCATCACAACCATCCACGTCATTAAAAACATAACCCAATACATGTACCAAACCCATGATCCATACAAATTGTCCGCCACAGCCCAAGACCACCACCATACTCCTCAATCGGCTCCCCTCCGCCGTCGCTTCCCCCAAATCCACCACCGCCACTTTCTCCTCCTTACTCTCACCTCCTGCCGCCCTAACTCCATCTCCAAAAATCTTGTGTCATCTCCGCACCGACCACCAATGGGGATCCATCTCGACTCCTCTCAACCCGTCGACGAACCCCAAATCTCGCTTCGTTGACAAATCGGCGGTAACAAGAGCAGACTCTCCTCCTTCGATTGCATTTCTAGCACTCTCTCCTTTCCAACTCGTTGGCGAACCCAGATCTCGCTTCGTCGCCAAGAGGCGGCAACAGGGTCAGACTCTTCTCCTTCCTCCAACAACGGATCGTCTTCCTCCAAATTTCCCCGACTTGAGCATCCGTCCGATTTCTCCGGCTGCGAGTTTGGCTGCTTCTGCGGTGGATCCATCAACCTAGACTTAGTCTTCCCTTTGAACAAATTGGACTTCCTCTTGAACTACGACTGGCTAGAAAACGAACCAATATGCCTTCTCCAGAAGATACTTTAAAACCTACCCTCCTCCATCATCAGCAGCAGGACTCCCAATTTTTTTTGAATCCTATGAGCTCCTTGAATCTGCTCTCCTGCCTCCTCCTTATTGACTCGCTCGACTCGAACGAGACTCGCTCGTAAACTGCGACAGACGACTACAAAACCTGAGTGAGATGCCAGAGGTGATGCAACCTGTCGTTGTTGTCCCCGTTCTGAAGCTCCACCATCTCCAAGTCCATGTCCAAACAGAACTCCCCCTGATGCCTGCTGCTTAGGTTTAAATTTGGAGCGGGCCGTATCATGGGTTAATGAGTCATATTGTTAGGTGTCAGGTTTTTTATGATGTGGAAGGATCGGATTTTATTTTTTCAGTTAAAAAATAGGTGATTAGGCAAGTCTGTTAGCCACATCAGCAAATAACTGACGGTGTTAGCGGAGACTGACAGAAAGTAACGGAGAGTGACTAACATTACATGTTTGCTAAACCTAATGACCAGGAATGGAATTCAATATTTTTAGTGATGAAACATGAAATTTTTTAAGCAGTTCTAGTGGTCAACCTTGCAATTTACCCCCAAAAAAATTATCAAACATATACCTTCTCTTAAAATTTTCTTAAAAATTCGTCAACCATGTTCAAATCGTGATTTGGGGGGACACAAGATCTATGATATCCCTATAATTTCACTTAAAATATTTTTGGCTTCTTTTGTAAAACTTAATACTCTTAATAAAATCACTTTAATGAGACTTAAAGAAGTAAATAAAGAGGCACATTGACAATTTTTCTCACATTTTACCGAGGTTAGGTCTTCTGTACAACGGTTGGACCATTGTTGAAGATTTTTTTACGAAATTATGAACAAAATGGCATGTTTGATAATTTTCTAAAGTCCAAAGATATGTTTAATGTAAAAAATAGTAGAGGAGAATGTTTGATAAAGTTTCAGAGTACAAAGATATATAATATATGTAACTCTATTTATTATTAGGAAAAATACACTTGCATAGTCACCACTTTCACGTTTGTGATAATTATAGCCACAACTTTCGAAATACACAAAATAGTTTGTCCATCCCTTTAATGGTGTCACTTAACAGTATGAATGGACTAACGGAAGTGCTGAGTTGGCGATCCACGTTGATTAACACACAAAAAAAGAGCAAAATACACGTTCATAGCCACAACTTTCATGTTTGTGACAGTTATAGCCACAACTTTCAAGTTTGTGACAGTTATAGTCACAACTTTTGAAATACACAAAAATACTCACTTCCGTTCATCCCTTTAACGGTGTCACTTAACATTATGAATGAAGATGGAGGCCTTATTTCCCGAATTGCCGATTAGATCCCAATCGTTATATTAAAGAAGAAGGCCTTGAACTATTGATAGAGTCACAGAAAAACGGCAAGAAAGAGGGCAAGAATGTTGTTGGGAAGAAGCTGAAGACGACCGCGAAGAAGAAGGCATGGCGACGACGGTGAAAAAGTAGACAGTTTCTCCAGTGGCGACAGAGAACGATGGGTCGGGAAGGAAGGATGCGGCGGCTCGTAGTGTATTTTCCCCTCCAATTCCTCGAAACTGTTTGCGGGTGCGATTGTTCTTGTTTCTAGTGAAGCTCGATTTGTCGCTGTCAATTGGCCCGATTCGTTGCATTTCCTCTCAAACAAAGCCTTGAGAAGAAATCAAGGACATGGTCACGATTGTTTCGTATATTTCAAAAGTTTGTAACATAAATGGCTAAAAAAAGCATCAAAATTTTGGGCTATTTCTTGTATTTCAAAAGTTGTGGTTATAACTGTCACTAACGTGAAAGTTGTGGCTATGAAAGTGTATATTGCGTAAAATATTTTAAAATTAAATTATGATGTGGCATGTACATGGCAAATGAGGTTGAGTTATTGCTTACGTGAGCGCCAATGTGGCATCCTAGGCAGCGTGTTGTTAACCTAACTAACGAAATATCTAACACCGTTAAAGTTAGTAATGGAAATGGCTATATTTGTCAAACAACTATCAAAATTCTGGCTATTTCGTGTATTTTGAAAGTTGTGGCTATATTTGTCACAAACGTGAAAGTTGTGACTATAGAAATGTGTTTTGCCTTATTATTAGCAGTTAGGAGTTAGATGTATCTGATGCCACTTAGGGGCCGTTTATATTGTTGATTTAGATACGATGGATTTGTGAGGAATTCTGACTCAAATCTGTCATTTACAATACCAGGAGATTTGAATGTGAGATTTGGTCAAAATTACTCGTTTGGCTTGAGAGGCGGAATTTTGATCTAAACCCTCAAATTACATATTTTCCTTTTATTATACCTTTTTTTGGTCTTCTCTTATGTTCTTCATTCTTCATCTTTGTTCATTGAATTAAATTCCAGATCACGACATTTATTCCTTCTTCTTCTACACATATTAATCGCGATAAAGAACTATTATTCTCCTGCTTCTACTCCAATTAATCGCAACAAATTCTCAGCTTCTTCTCCTACTCCTATCCAAAATCCCCTAAATTCCAAAACCCTACACACCTAAATCTAAGAAGAACCCAACCCCAGTTGCCTCAGCCAGTCGAGCTCAAATTTTGTCATTGCGAGCTTCTCCTTCTTCTATGTGATCAACGTGATTGGGTTTGTGATGGCGTTCACATGGCGTGGGATCAATGGGGTGGCTGGTGCCGATGGAGAGATGCTCACTAGAGCTATATTCGGTTGGGTGGGCCTGGAACGACGAGGTGTTCTTTCTCACCCTGCGTGTCGTCTCAAGTTTGGGCTCTTTACTTTTTCTACCAAAGATGAGTATTGTGCCCATTAAGGATATATATTGGATTATAGTTGGAAGAAGATTGAATGGATTGGTGGCGATTAGAAATAGAAGGAACCAGATTATGGAGCTATGGGGGTTTGCGATTGGTTGTTGATTGGCAGATCTGAGAGAGACTATTGGTGGTCAACGACGCGGGGGAGGGATTGCATGGGAAGAGGTGGAAGATGGAAGAAGAATTGTAGAGTAAGTTAAAGGTTAAGGGTTAGATATAGAAGAAGAGGATAATGGGGGATTCCAAATGTTTGGTTTTCAAAATTTGATAGGAGCAAAATTTCTTGCTGATTGCTTCCCAAATGAGTGAATGTGGTGAGATCAGGAAGAATGGGCTATTTGGGTGAAATCCCTCATTGAAGACCCTTATCCAAACGACCCCTTAAGTATTTTTCCAAAGCACGCTAACAACTAGATTTTTTAGTGGGAAATAACCATATAAGCCAGGCTTTAGTTGAACTACACATTTTATGTTCCCAAGACTTAATGATAGGTATCAAATGGCAATCTTCCATGCCAACGTAAGCTTTGTTGTTGAGTCCATCTCAAGTCAAATGAATCACAACCACACTCCCCCCTCCAACTCCAAATGCAAGTGCAGGCCTAGGTCCAAGTACAAGTTTCCTTACAAGACGACAACTCAATTTTCCAATATCATCTCCACAGGTTGTATCTAGGGATGACAATCAAACTCATGGTCGCGGGTACCCAACCGTTCCCGACCCAGTCAACGCGGGTAATCCCCGCTTTGACCGGGTATGGGGCGGGTATGGGTAAAACCCGCAAAAAGTATGATGGGTATGAGGCGAGTATGGTTTTACCTTCCCCCGACTCATACCCATATCCGCCCCACCAAGAGAATTTATTCACATATACAAAAATATGTGGATCAAATTGTAATCTATCAATGATGATGAGGATAATTCAAGGAAATAAATAGTAGAAATGCAATTGAGTGACCATCTTAATCAAAACCTAATTCATGTCCCTCAATTCTCCTTTCACTCTTTCACTTTCCCCCTTGTCAACAAGATTATGTTAGTTAATTATTACTTAGAAGATGTATCAGAGTTAGAACGTAATAATTTGAAAAATATTATACTCTATATTATGTATTAACGAATTTTTTAGGATCATATTCTTTGAAGCGTATTAAGAAATGATCGTGTTTTGTTGAATTCGTGATATAATAGGTACGTTTAGAGTTGTAGTTAAAAATTTGTTGTAAATTTTAAGAAATTATTACTTAGTAGATGTATCAGAGTTAGAACATAATAATTAGAAAAATATTATACTCTATATTATGTATTAACGATTGCTTTATGATCATATTCTTTGAACCGTATTAAGAAAATGATCTTGTTTTGTTGAATTCGTTATATAATAGGTACGTTTAGAGTTGTAGTTAAAACTTTTCTTGTAAATTTTAGGATAATAATGTTGGATGTACGGGTACGGGTATTACCTATGGGTACCCGAAACCCACGGTTATGGGGAATTGGGGATGGGTTTGCCAAACATTCACCCGCCTGGGTATGAGGCGGGTATGGGTTTGAATATTTGAAGATGGGGATGGGGATGGTTTAGACAAACCCGCCCCAAACCCGCCCCATTGTCATCCCTAGCTGTATCTACCCAATTGACTCGGATCCTTGCCAGACAGCTCATGGTAGATGCGTTGGCGTGGATTGTGAGGAAAACGTTGTAATCGCCCTTCTCAACGCTGGATGAAGCAGGATGCACGATCTAAGAAGTATCGTTACTTCAAAGGATGGAGTGACAGTGGGGGGAGCACTGGTGTGCATTTTTCGGAGGCAACGTTCCGTCGAGTTTGGGTAATTTTGATTTGGATACGGGATGTGGCTAGTATTTTTTTGACGTGAGGTTGAATTTTAGAGGGAGGATAGCCCGGACATTTTGGTTGGAGACAAGCTCCAAAGTTTTAATGGCAAACTAAGGGTTTTGGGGAGCTAGTGGTAGAGTACTTAAGGGATTTTTTTTAGAAGAAAATTCTTAGTAATCGTAATGGTTGTGGTGGAATTAGCTTGATGAAGTTCTATTCTTGAGATAAATTTCTTCCCAGATTTAATAGATGAAGCCCAATTGAATAGATTATGCTATGAGAAAATGATTTA